TTTAAATAAGATTAGGTTGGTGCAAAATAATTGCGGTTTTTGCCCTTACTTTTAAATGGCAATTACTTTTGCACCGTCCTAATAGATACATGTCTCTTCTCATTATAGCAATCCCTAGGACCAGCAACCTGGCAATAAGAAAGTGACCTGGAAATTGGGTATATCATTTCTGCCCACATCTCATTGGAATGAATTTTGTACCACAGCTATACTGGAAATATAATCTCTAACTGGGTAGCCAGGTACCCAACTAGAATTTAGGGATTTCATTACCGAAAAGAAGAAGAACACAGCAATTAAAGAGATCGAATTGTTAACAGATGTAGCAACATGGAAGAATCTCAAAAACATTATGCTAAGCAGAAGTCACAAAAGGTTGAAAGTCAGCCATTTTCAGTGGCTGTTTATTGGGATGAGTATCAAATAAATTAATGAACAGATTCCATGTATGTGTAATGTTAGCCCTGAGAGAAATACTTTAAAACTTAAAATCCCATAGAACTTTTATTTTTTAAATAACATTGAACAAAATAGGTCCTACTTGGTTTGGTGTTGACATACCATAATATGCCTAAAATTAAAGTTGGTAATATAAAAAATGCAGAAAATGGAATTATTTGTAAAAATGGTACCTATACAATAAGTTACGCTTTTTAAAGTTTTTAAAAAACTTAACCTTAATCCTGTGTGATTCCATATGTATGAAACTCAAGGCAAGGCAAAACTCCAGTGTAGCAGGAATATCATTGCCTGAGACCTAGGTCTTGAGGAGCACAAGGAAACTCTTTTTGGGGTGATGGAAATGTTCGAGATCTTGATTGTGGTTACATGACTATACAATTATCAAAACTCATTGAACTTAACACTTACAGTGAGTTATCATTGTGGCTGCTGCTGTTATTATTGCCTTGAGTTCACAGAATTTCAAGGGGGTTAAAAAAATCACTGGTTAAATTTGGAATTCTTGAGCCCCCCCAAAAAAATCTAACATAGCTTTATTTTATTTAGAGTCCTTTTTGTTTTTTAAACTTTGGCGAGTATGTGTGTTTGAATTAAGATAATTTGCAATGACTGTTATACAAACAACTCCGAAGCTCAGTAGATTAACTGAGAAATAAACAGAATAAAAGATATATTTCTCACATCTGTCACAGCCTCTCTGGGTGGTGGGTTGGGCTTCTGTCCTGCCACAGCAATTAGGGTTCTAGCTTCTTCCGTCTAGTGAATCCACTGCCTTCTGGGGCCTGAGAGTCGTCTGGGATCCTGGAATCATCTGCTAGATCTTCTGCACCAATGAGGAGGGTAGGGGAACAGTGGGTCTCATGAGATTTAGGGGTCAGGCCTAGAAGCGGCACACATACCTCTACAACATTTGAATGGCCCAAGTGGGTCGCGTGACCACACCTAGAGGTGCACCTGGAAATGTAGTCTTCTTATGTGCCCAGGGTGAGAAGGAAATGGTTAGTGAATATAACCTTGTGGCTATGTCTATCATTAAAAGTTCAGTTCCTGTCTTTGCAACATAATAGTTGATTGAATTTGGGAAAGTGTCTAGGCCTCGGGTTAGTTTGTTTGTTTTTATTTCTAAAATGATGGCATAAATGATACCTACCAAGCAGGGCTGTTGTGCGAATGAAATGAGATTATTCATGTAGAGTGCATAATAGAGGGCCTAACACAGAGCAGGCACATCGAATTTCCTGTCTGGTTCTCCTTGCATGAGGAGCAGACTGATTTAATCACTGTGGTTTTATAATATACTTTAATATTTAATTGGGCTAGTCTTTTACCAGTTTTCTTTTTTGTTTGTTCATTTGTTTGTTTTAATGTACCTTATTTTACAGAGCAGTTTTAAGTTGAAAGAAAATTTGAGTGGTAGACACAGAGATTTCCCATATCCCCCATCCCCATATGTACCCAGCCTCCCCTACTGTCAACATCTCCCACAACATCTCCCACCAGAATAATGCATCTGTTACCTCTATGAACCTACATTGACACAACATTATCCAGTCCTCTTTTACTAAAATAAACACTTTTTGAGATGGCTTTTTCTTCCAGGTGAACTACTGTGTAACTTTTTCCCCCTCTGAAAGTGTGTCTTAGCCTGACTTCTCTAGAAAGTACAGGCCAAGACAAAAGGCTTAATGTTATTAGGAAGTGCAACCCCAGGAGACACCCAAGAGCATCCCAGAGAATGAAGCAGGGAAAGTAGAGCCTATACAAGAAGGTGCTAGCTCACTGGCTGCTTCTCTGTGCACCTGCTTGTTTCTTTCTACAGGGCTGTCCCTGAGAATTTGAACAGCGTCTCAAGCCAGTCAGTCCATGAGAAAGAAGGGGCCCTCATAACTCATTGGTTTAAGTTTCACTCACTGGCCCTTATATCTCTTTATATTTAAGTTTCATCCCACAGGGAGTTCACTCCACACACCTCAGGGTTGAACATGACACAGAGCCTAGTGTTCCATAGTGTGTCATGCCCAGGTGTCAGACGGGGTCCTGGACAGATCCCAGGCAGAGCCAGCGCAGGACAGTTGGCAGAGCAATGGAAGGGATGCCGAGAGAACGTAAATATGGAATAAGTTCCCTTCTTTCTGTTATCCAGTTTTCCCATTCTAGAACATAGCAAGACCATTTGAAAAGGAAGTTCTCCCATTTACTCCTAAAGGCATGTTCCTTATGTTCTCTTGGATTTGCTTCCATTAGGATCAAATTAACAAAAAGCTATATTATAAAAGGGAGAGGGTGGGACCCCTCAACTTAATGAAGAAATGCCATCTCCTGATGTAACCACCAGTCCCTGTGAAGTAACCTAACTTAAAGAGAAAATGCAGACAGGATGATACTGTTTTGAAAGTCGAAGGGATTTGCTATTGCCTTTGGGGGAAAGACTTCACTCATTCCCTGGCATAGGAGCCTGGGGATTAGAGGATCAGTTAGCATTCTCCTGCCTCTCCCAAGCCACTTCTGATCATCATCAAGGCAACTTATATTCTCCCTAGATGCTTATTAATGTACCCTACAGCTTCGTACTTAGCAGTAAATTACTCTTGTTCAAAACGTGACTTGAGAACCACGTGATAGCCAGCTTAGCACTGAATCCTATGGAATGTTCAGTGTTGAAAAAGACATGTGATGGATCTCCCTCAAACAGAGTATACTCCCCTGCCTGCCACCAAAAACTCAAACTCTTCCTAGACCATAAATAAGATCCTGGGCACTGTAAGTATCTCCAGTGAGCTATATGGAAGGAACTTGCCCCATCTTTTGACATGCTAGGAGTCTGAAGTCAGTTATAGGTGATCGTTTTGCACTCAAGAAAATGGTCTCTATGAGTCTGGTTTTTCCCTCCCATACAAAAAACTTCTAATAAGACCCAGGTGAAAAGTTTCTGGCCTACGATACTGAGGGGTCTAATATGTGCAACCAAAGATACCAGTTATTTGTCGGGATGATTATTCTGGGACACGCTGAGCTCTGGGTTGGTCCTTGTCTAATCACAGAATTGCTGCATGCCCTTTGGAGGTATTTTACTAGCTTCTCCATGTCTAGATGTACTAGTGTTATTATACAATATCAGATTTCCCCACAAAATGCCTTTGCAATTGGCTATTCATTTGTGTGCACCAACATTATTATTTACTGTACTTAGTCCGTTTTGTAGTATTTAGTGACCTTCACCAGAAGTTCAGCATTCTTGGCAGGCATTTTTCCCTTGGCCACAGAGGAACCCTGTGTTTCTCTGGCTCTGGCTCCTTCCAAGAGATGGGAATGTAATAGCAGCAGCTGAGGATATGAAAATAACTGGGAACAAAATAGACATCAAATTCAGAAAAGGACTGAAAAAAAAAAAACAGCAGAAGCAGTTCTTTTTCAACACTGAACATTCTATAGGATTCAATGCTAAGTTGGCTATCACATTGCTATTTTAAACAGAGGGAAAAACATAGGTAGATCGACTTGTGATTTTATATTTTAAACACAGATATAGAATTCTGACTCCAGATTTTACTCTTAGATCCATGTGGGTGATTAATCGTAAATTCTGAAAAACATGGATACAAGAATAGAACAGACTTCTAATACAGTTCCCTTTTTAACCAGACATAAATAAAACTTTAGAACTTCACCAAAAAATGAGTCTAGTGGGGTAGATGATGTTTCTGTTAATAATTTTGGAGTGTGCTTTTTTTTCAGGTTTTTTTTTTTTTTTTAAGGCTTCACTGATTGGAAGGCTCAAGTTCATTGAGATACACAATGTCTTTGAGTGAGCCTTCCAAAAATCCGAATATCTCCTTCTGGCATGAATTGTTCTTTCTGCAGCATTCCATGCTGACACAGCCACATTTCTTCCAGTATATGTTCTGTTACCCATGAGACTGCAGGAGAGTCCCACCTAAAAGCATTAATGTTGCTACATTACCATAAAAGTCTGCCCTGTGAGTATTACTCAAAAAACAAACAAATGGGCCGCATTAGAACAGACTGATAGTAGCCTCCCCTCTTGGATTGAAGAAAACATCCACTTAACACTCTGGTTGCTGGAGGTTCATTCCTGCAAAGAGGATATCAACTTCCAAAGTTAAAGCCTTTCTGCAGTGTACAGAGACATCCATCACCTTTTTTGCTTTTTTTGTTTTTATTTTTTCCCTAAGGTATTTAAGATATGTGCAATATCTTAAATCTAAAGCTATCTTTGAGATCAAGGAGGAGAAATATTTAAACATTTATGCATTCAGTTCATGATTCAGAGATTTATTTATAAAACTGTTGATTTTGGGACACCCAACTCTTGCATTTAAACTGCTGAAGTGAGTCATGTTTGTGGGAGGTAATTACTACCAGAAAGTACAACTAACTTGTAAGCTTCTCTTTAAAATGTCCACTCACAATCTACAATTACTGCAAATAACAGGCTTACCAGGACTTTTGCTCTGTTTTATGGCTGTGTATATTTATTATGAGTGCATTAGGCAATACCCAAACATACTTTTCTCGCATAGGGGTTCTTGTAGGAGAAATGAGTCCCTTTATTAGTATCAGTGTAGATTTCTGAGGATGTAGGATTGAAAAAAATATAAACTCAAAGTATCCCTTCCATTACAGGAAACAGCCTGGAGAACAGCTGGTTCAAGAGTAATAATAGATTCCAATTGTCAGAAAATGTATACCTATGATTTGTGCATCGTTAAAGAGCATTTCCAACCCACTGAAATTCTAGCAGGCACTTCCCTCTTTAACACCTCCATGCCTCTCTGAGGCATCTTTGTGTCCTCCTGGGAGGCTCTCTGAGTCTTCATTTTGTGACTGATGAAGTCCACGCCTAACTGACTAGAAACCGAGTGGGCAGCTGCTTATGGGCCATAATGCCAGAGCCTCTGAGAACATCCTGCAGTTCATGGCTGTTTCCACACTGATCAGTGCCTAAAATTTCACAGATAAGATGTCCAGAGGTGGCTCACACCTATAATCCAGCACTTTGGGAGGTTGAGGCAGGAGGATCACTTGAGGCCAGGAGTTCAGCACCAGCCTGGGCAACATCATAGGGAGACCTCAGTCTCTACCAAAAAAAAAAAAAATTTTAAATTAGGAACAAAGATACCTAGAGAGCTGGTGTCGTAGAAAGTAGAAAGAGCAGTAGGAGGGAATTTGGTGTTTGAGTCAGAGTAAATGAGAGACTGCTGCAGCAGGGGTTGGGAAAATCACCAGAAAAGAAAGGCTGGAATTTCCAAAGACAAACTCTGGCTACCTGATGTTTTTGCCCTGCCATATCCTTAACCTGCCTTGGACTTAACCTTGCTCAAAGCAACTCCATTGGGATACCAAGGCCTCCCGGTCTTCCCTAAAGCTCCCTTAACTCCTGCACCAAACATACTCTTCTTCGGTGGATTTGAGACTTAACCAACTAAATAACCATGCCACTTTACACTGCCTATGGTTCAACGGCCTTACTGCACCTGTCCACGTTCATTCATTCATATTGTTTCACTCATCATTTATTCAGTACTATTGACCGAGTGCCCTCTATGTGTCAATTGTTGTGACAGGCCAGGCATGGCGGTTCATGCCTGTAATCCCAGCACTTTGGGAGGCCAAGGCAGATCACCTGAGGCCAAGAGTTCAAGACCAGCCTGGCCAACATGGCGAAACCCCATCTCTACTAAAAATACCGAAAAAAAAAATTAGCTGGGTATATTGGCGGGTTCCTTTAATCCCAGCTACTCGGGAAACTGAGGCAGGAGAATCGCTTGAACCCAGGAGGCGGAGGTTGCAGTGAGCTGAGATCATGCCATTGCACTCCAGCCTAGGCAACAAGAGTGAAACTCCATCTCAAAAAAAAAAAAAAAAAATTGTTGTGCCAGGTGCTGGAACATAACCCAATCCCTGTCTTTGAGGAGCATATTGACTGGTTGGAAAGACAGACCTCAAGAGTGGCAATTTCAGAACTGCATGACGAATGTTACATAGGAGTGAGTGGTGTTGTGGAGACACATCAGAAAGGCAGCATACCTGAGCCTGGGGAGCAGAAAGCACTTCCCACGGGTGCCCATGTTTCAGCGAAGACCTGAAACACAAGAGAGGATAGGCAGGGGACTTAAGGGGAAAACGAAGGTAAAGAGACCAGATGTAATATTCTGTGCAGGAGGAAAGGAAGAGGCCAAAGCCTGTGAGAAACGTGAATGTGCAGTTTAGGGATGTGTGATTAGTCAAAAATCGATGGAGCCAACTTTAGATCAATAGTAGAGTGATGATAGAGGAGGCTGGACAGGGAGACCAGGATGTGAAGGACCTTGTGTGCCATACTAAGGAGTTTGAATGTCAGTGGAATCTATTGAAGGACACATCCTATGTGCTGCATTTTCCTTCCAGGTACTACTGAGGCCTGACCCTGCTAAGCCTCCCAGATCAGATGAGACTGGGTGCATACAGGGTGGTATGGCTGCAGACCCCATGTAGGGTGTTTCTATTGGAGCAGCCATCCATCAGATTCTTTATATGCTTGCATCTAAGCTTGCAGGCTTAATCTTGAACAAGTTGGTACACCCCCAAACATTTGGCAGCTTTCCTCTCCTAGCTTTCCTCAGTTGACATTGGTCAGGCCAGAACTACACACTCTTTGAGTCCTCTGACTTGTGGCATTGCCTAATTCGTTCTACCTCTCTCAGTCACACACTCCACACTCCTCAACTTTACGATCCATCTGGACCCACAGCTTACCTATAACCCTTCTAGTTCACACATTTCATGGAAGTCTCTCTCTTGCTCAATTTTAATTCAAATTCAGGTCTGGAACATATAAAAATGTTACCATTCACTCAACAAATATTTAAGGAACTAGTACTACATGTTAGGAAGTGTTCCAGGCAATACAGTAATGACAAAAAAAGATTAAGTCCCTACCCTCATGGAGATGACATTTTAGAGGAAGAAAATAGACAAACAATATATCAGATTGCAATATATTGTTTTTAAACAATCATTGTTATTTAAAAATTGGTATGAAATAATGATTGTTATAAAGAAAACTTAAGTAAGGGCTGCTGAAGTGTGTCATTTTATATAAGATTTATATATATATATATGTACACACACAAATATACATACATATACACATAGACAACCACAAATAGAATTAATACATGCTTCTATAAATATGTACCAACAAATTTTTAATGACTTCAGGTTTCAACAGTTAAAAATGTCATATAACTAGTTTGAAGTTAGAGATAAGTGATGTTATTGTCACTTATAAATTTCAGGTCTCAAGAATCTTTCTGATTTTTTTGTTTATCAAATTCAATGTGTAATTATATTTTTAGCCTTGTAATGTAATATAGTACACAGAATTTTGCAATAATCTTACAGTCTTCCCTTTGTTTGAAATACAAATGTGACTCATTGTATTTATGAATTAGCATTTTTCATTAAGAAAATATAAACATTTCATTATATTTTATTTTAATTTTCCATTTAGAATGATGGCAAAACATTATTGGTACAACCTTGTGGGCAAGAGTAGGGATTTTGATAGAGTGACATAAGTCCTATAATATGTGCCTAATAGGAGTGACAGCAAAGGGGGATGGAAGAGCAATATATGATAAAATAAGAGCTGGGACTTTCCAGAATTGTAAGATGGCAGGAGTACTCTGATTAAAAGCACACTAGTAGCAAGCAGGATAAATAAAAATAAATGTACAACATAGTAAATTGAAGAACATCAACAAAAAAGAGACAAATGTTAAAAGCTATCCAAAAGAAGAGATTCCATGCAAAGGAACACTCAGTAGATGGACAGTGGACTTGAGATGTAAGAAGACAGTGATATCTTCCTGGGCTGAGAGAAATTAGCTTTCAATCGAGGATTTTATACCAAGCAAAACTATTAAAATACATAAAATTAGGACATTTTTATAATCACAAGGACTTAAACAAGTAACCAGTCATAAACTGTCATTACAGGATATTCTTTTAAAGAATGAATGTAAAGAGCTTTTGCATGGCAAAAGGAACAGTCAGCAGAGTAAACATACAACCCACAGAGCGGAAGAAAATCTTCACAATCTATACATCCAACAAAGGACTAACACTCAGAACCTACAAGGAACTCAAACAAATTAGCAAGAAAATAACAATCCCATCCAAAAGTGGGCTAAGGACATTAATAGACAATTCTCAAAAGAAGATGTACAAATGGCCAACAAGCATATAAAGAAATGTTCAACATCACTGATGATCAGGGAAATGCAAATCAAAACCACAATGCAGTAACACCTTACTCCAGCAAGAATGGCTATAATAATAATAATAATAATAAAAGATGTTGGTGAGGATGCGGTGAAAAGGGAACACTTCTGCACTGCTGGTGGGAATGTAACTAGTACAAACATTATGGAAAACAATGTGGAGATTCCCTAAGAACTAAAAGTAGAACTACCATTTGATCCAGCAGGAAAAAATATGCTTGGAAACTTAAATAACACAGGTTAAAGAGGGAAATCACAATAGAAATTACATTTAGCATTAAACAGTAATGAATGTACTACATAGCAAATGGCTAAAGTTATGGTAGTCAGAGGTCAATTTACAGCACAAAATGACATCTTTAAGAAATAAGATATATTGGCTGGGCACAGTGGCTCACACCTGTAATCCCAGCACTTTGGGAAGCCGAGGCAGGCAGATCACAAGGTCAAGGAGTTCGAGACCATCCTGGCCAACGTGGTGAAACCCCGTCTCTACTAAAAATACAAACAATTAGCCAGGCGCGGTGGCACACGCTTGTAATCCCAGCTACTCCGGAGGCTGAGGCAGGAGACTCACATGAACCCAGGAGTGCGGAGGTTGCAGTGAGCTGAGGTCACACCACTGCACTCCAGCCTGGGCAACAGAGCAAGACTCCGTCTTGGTGGGAGGGAAGGAAAGAAGATATTTTAAAATAAATTAGCGATTGGATTAAAAAGTTAGAAAAAGAAAAGCAAAATAAAAACAAGAAATGTAGAAGAAAAGAAATAATAAAGAATATAAATTAATTAAACAAAGGAGCAATAGATTGGATAAATAAAACCAAAAGCTTTTTATTTGAAAAAAGAGAACAATCAAGAAAAAATACAAAAGGCACAAATGTATAATATTAGCATCTAAATAAGGGACTTTCCTATAGATATATATGTTTTTAAAAAATGTATTGTGTATGTTTGAGATTTGTGACAGGATATTATAGGATACATATAGTGAAGCGGTTACTATAGTGAAGCAGATTAACATACTTGTCATCTCACATAGCTACTAAAATCTACTTACTTAACAAAAATTCCTAATACAGTACAATTTTATTAACTGTAGTCCTCATGTTGCACATTAAATCTCTAGACCTGTCCATCCTACATATTTACTATTTTATATCCTTTGACCTACGTCTCCTCACTTCCTCACCCCACCCCACCCATGGGAACCACTGTTTTCCAGATGCAGATGTTTTTAAAACCACAAAATACTACTAGTAACAAATTTAAAATTTTAGATGAAACAATTTCTTTAAAAATAAATTACAAAAATTGGTTGAATGAAAAATTTGACAATATGAATAGTCTAATCACTGTTAAAGAAGTGAAGTCAGTAACCAAAACTCTTCCCCACCAAAAAGCCACCGGGTACTGATGATTTTACAGCTGGGTGTTATATCTTCAAGGTAGAGATAGTCTCTAACTTATGCACATTATTTCAGGGAGCTGGAAAAGAGGAAAAGCCACAGAGCTCATTTTCAAACCTAGTGTAATCTTGAGATCAGAAAAATATAAGAAAATAAAGCTATAGATCCATTTCATTTATCAGCAGAGAGATAAAACATTCTAATTCAAATGTTAGCAAATCAAAATCAGCAGTGTTTATGTTCCAGTGGGGTTCATATCAGGAATGGAAGGATGGTTTCAAGAAGAGATTCCAAAATATTTTGATATGGTATGCCATATTTAGACGTTAAGAAAAGCCTTATGATTATCTCAGTAACTCCAGAAAAAGCATTTGATGAAAAATTAATATTCATCATAATTTTTTAAAATGTATTAACAAACTAGGAATAGAAGTGAATTTTATTTACCTTATATTCAAAATCTACAGTAATCCTGCCTACTGATGAGACTTTAGAAGCATTACCGTTAAAGTCAGGGACAAGATAAAGATATTTTATGTCGCCACTTCTATTCAATAATGTACTGAAGGTTATAGTCGATCCAATAAGACAAATAAAAACATAAGGATATAGAATTGGAAAGAAATGTGAAGCATATTTACATACACATAAAATCTAAGAGGTATTATTTCTAATGATTAACAAATACATAACTCTAAAACAAAGTTGAGAGTTGATCTAGATTTTGGGATACAAAGCACAGCATAATCAATAACACTCATAACCAGAAAAGCAATACAAAAAACATACTTTTCACAATGCGACAACAAAGACTATAATTTACCTAACAGGAAATCTAATAAAGATGTACAAGATAATGAAAAAGTATATAGCATTATTGAAGTAAAGGAAGTCCTAAATAAATGGAGAAGTCCCAAGTAAAAACCATGGTTTTGGATGGGAAGATTCACTATAATAAAGATGGCAGTTCTCTCCAAATTTATTTATAAATCCAATGCAATTCCATCAGAGTTTTATATTTAACTTGACAAATGTCCCTGATATTTAAATGGTAAAGAAAAGGACAACAATAGCCCCAAAAAATTTGAAGATGAACAAGGTGAGGAAGAGATGAATAATTTTTGTAAAATTATCGTGATTGCTACAATGTGATTTTGGCACAGAGACAAGATGACAAGTGGAATGGAATACAGAACTCAGTCCCATGCATACAGGGAAACATAATATGTCAAGAGCTGCACTACAGATCAGTGGGGTAATAAAATGGTAGTGAAGCAATTAGTTGTCCATATGGAAAAAGATAAAATTTAATTCTTACCTCATTCCCCAGACTAAATTAAAAACTAAATGTGTAGAGCAGCATTTTAAAAATTTAGATAATAGCATACGAGAATATCTTTAAGACCTGAGGG